ATTGGTTTTTGAGGCTGATGACCATTGTAAGATTTGTAATACATTAATATATATACTCTGGGATGATTTTGGGATTTCAGTTCCCCATTTTTATTTATCATTTTGTTTATCATCATAAACTTATTTTAATAGTATTTGGTCACTTAAATACACCCTTTATTACAGTTACAAAGAGAAATTTACTCTATTGTTATAGTCAAAAAGGCTTATTGAGAATAATATCAAAAAGATATTGCTTTACTTTCTTAGTTATCATAGTGGAATAACACCACAGCAGTGTTGAGAGAAATTAAATGGTGCTTTTTGAGTCAAAATCCGTGTGCTTTGGTCCTTTAAAGATACTTTTCTCTGGTGCCTTATCAGTACTCTGTTCAACAGAGTTCCCCTTTCTGATTGTCTTGTTTTAGGAAGGCAGTCCATAGACATCTTCTACTAGTCATTTATTGGTAGATTATGCCCTTCACGCTCTGTATAAACCTTGTTGGGTTATAAGTTCTACAGTGCGGGTTGGGTTAGAGTTACAGTTGTCTCTGAAATAACCCATACCTTTTTATGGAACCCAAAAGGTATGGGTTTTCATAGAGTATGTGTTATCACAATGGTCTTCTGGGCTAAAAAGTGGAAATTATGGACCAAAAAAAGCATGGGTTAGGCCAGAGTATGTGTTACAAGGGGTATGGGTTATTTCAGAGTTGACTGTAGAACAGAAAAGAACCAAAATGAGGTGAACAACCCTTGGGTTGAGCTGTGGGTGGTGCAATCAAAGTTTTCAGATGCAAATTTTTTATTTGGCAAAAGAAATCTCAAGGAGTTGAAGGGCCCCAAAACTGGGAAATCTGAGGGATCAGGGTTGACCAGTGCTTCAGTCTGTGACAGGTGTGCTGCGCCATGCACCACCTGTATTGGGGGGGGGAAATCAAAATTTGTGTCAATATGGCACAAATTTCTTGAATAGCTATACAATCAAACAAACACATTGAAGATATAAGTTTAACCACTATGTCTAGGTCAAGATGAGGTCTATGCTCAAAAGTTGGCTGGCCACCCAGGGTCTACAGTGGGTAAACCCGAGTATGTGTTTCAAGCCTGCCCCACATAGAGTTTTGGGTGTGAGATCTTCAAGACATTTTCCCGGTTTCCCTTCTTTTTTTCATGGGTGAATAAGCTTTATGGGGGGTTATAAGGTGTGAAATTTTGTTCATTTGAGGAGAAAAAGGGTGTCAAGGTTATTTGCCACTTCAGGCACCTGTACAAAACAGACTTAAAAGTATTCACCTATAGTCACTGCCACTCAGAAAAGCTCACAATTTAATCAGTTGACCAAAATCAGCTAAAAACTTTAATGAAGACATATCAGACTATTTTGAAGAAAGATTATTGATCAAAGATCAAATCTCAAATCATCATTAAAATTATCAAAAAGAAAAAATGTAATCATTAATATTGAAAATCAAACCAATTTCAATATTACAAGTACAAATGAAGAAGACAGAATTTTAGATGGAAATTCAAAAATTAAATGAAGAATTTAAATCAAGCTAAGCAACTTTGCATAGACCAAGCACCTATGATTTATGATTCTTATGAAAAATTTGGTCAAACAAGACTTTCACCAAGTTTGATACTATGTAAGCAGTTAATAGATATGGAAAGCTCAAATTTTTTGAACATTTAATGTCAAATTTAATCAGTTTTAATTGCAAAGAAGAAATGGAAAGATTTGCAATCAGAATCTAGAAATGGATTTATAACTCAGACTATAGCTGATAATTGTTCACCTAGTGGAGATCATCTCAATATCCCAACTCTCCTGCATCACAATACCCAAGATGAAATATGGCAAGCACAAGGCTCAGCCTTGAGTGCATTGGCCCGCAGTGCATGGCTACCCCCTAGTGTGGACCTAAGCACCTAGCTATGAGCCCAGTATCAGGTTGTGGGCGCGCCTAGGCATCGGAAAAATTGACAAAATCAACGTTGGTGCGCCTTTTCAAGAATCACACCAAATTGTAGGAGTTTTATGTCCCGTCACCAATATTGGAGATTTGGATACTGGCTGCAAGCTTTGATGACAGCTCTTTTTGGCTTTTCTCACCTTTAAAAAGCAATTCTGCTGTAGTAGATAGCTACAGCAATACAAACATCAAATAAATAAAATGACATTTTGGCTTTTGGCAATTTTTTTTGTGAGAAAATGCGCCAGGCGCCACTTGGGGCGCCTAGGCGCAAAAAAATCAAAAAAATGTGCCTCGGCGCGCCCACAAGGCCCTAGTACCTTGCTAAGTACCTAGATAAGTACATAGCTAGGTACATAGCTCAGTACATAAGGCCTAGGTATAAAAATCTGAGACCCTAAAAAATAAGGACCCCACTATTTAGAGCCCTCGGAGCAGTATCCGAAGCCCTCTTTCGGGTCGGACCCGAGGCTACAAATAAATCAGGCGCCCCATTTCCAAGAAGGGGCTCCACAAGGGGCTCCATTTTTTTATTTAATCTCATCATTTATCTATCCTCATATTAATTAATAAACATTGAATTGATGAGATGGTCACCATGGAGCGAGCCTCGCTCTCTCGATCAAACGGCCAAAAGATCAAACGGCCAAAAGACCGCGCTTCTTTCTTGTGAAGACAACATTGTTTGTGAAGTTTGTCACCTCTAGAGGTAAACAAGCCTTGACAATACGTACAACATGTATCTTTAGGAGCCCGACATGGTTGTTTTTGATCTTCATGATGAAAAGGAGAAGGGAAATTAATTGAAGGTTCATGACTAGGAAGATGAGAAGAACTACTACTCTCGATCAAATTGTCAGTAATGTTAGAAGGATGATTGAGTAAACTTTTGGGAGTGCTAGCTAAGATTAAATGGTGATCAGTTGTTGTAGTAGTAGTAGAAGTATTGCCAGGTGAATAATTCAATTGATCGAATTGATTGGGTGAAAAGGTAATGGATGGTGGTGGTGGTGGTGGAAACTTGATGGGATCAGAAGGAGAACATTGAAAATCTTGGATCGAGTTCGATCCCATCATATTCTGATTCATAGTCAAGTTGATTAAACTCAATTAATACTCAATCATCAACAATTTATATCTGAATTCAAGATGATGGTAAACCAAATCAAACACATCAAAACTTATATAAATATCAATCAAACACCAAGAGGTCAAAAGATAGAGAAATAGCAAGATATATAGGTATTGATGAACTCTGAACACGACTTCAAACGTAAGAACGGTAGAGGTATGAACTGGGTTATTGGGGTTTGGTTTTTTAAAGTTGTGATTAAGTGATAAGAAAATCGGACATGGAAAGTGAGTGTGAGGGAGAGATGGGAACTTCTATATGTAAGCATATTGCTGGGCACTTGAAGGGCCAATGTTGTCCGTCATGCAAGGGTCGGTCCGGGTGCCAAACAATTTGGGAGCCCTTGCATTTGTTTTCATCATATTTGTTGCCCCATATATATGAAGGGGCTCCAAATACGTTAATTGATGATCCAAAAGGGGCTCATCCGTGATTTTGTGCCCTATTAGGGAGCCCTTGATGAGCCCTCGAGGTCCGAACATGCGTTATATAGGCTAAAAAAAGCGGGGTATCAACAGGTCACGCGGGTTTTGGTGAAAACCCGGGGGGCTCCGGATATCAGCGGAGGGGGCTCTAAATAGTGGGATCCAAAAATAAAATGATATTTTCGGTCTCCAGTACAACCATATTTCCAGATTCATCCAAATATTATCTTCTCACTGATTTGGGCAAAGCGACATATTTGCTCAAGACACACTTAGTTAAGTTTGTGGTCTGGGTGTCAGTCCCAAACATTTAAGTCGAGTGCTCCGTCTTTGACCCAAAAGTTGTAATTTTGATCTTGCAGGGCAGGTCGGAACACATACTCGGGTTTACCCACTGTAGTCTCATGTCAAACTCCGGTGGGTCTTTTTATGTTTTTAAAAATTTGATGCTGCAATTTGACATGTAGCTCCAAGAGGTATAGCAAAGTAGAGTCACGGATAGATATCAACAACTATACACAGATGTCTGGAGCTCAGACGCAGGAGATGCGGGACGGAATTGAGTGAATTGGGGCTACATACGTGAGTTAATGAGCTGACCCACAACCTACCTATTCATTTATAAGCTGTTCTTGAAGGAGTCGCCTTCTTTTTTTGATCAATGAGGTTGCACTTCACAAGGCGCCGATTTGCAAGGTGACTAACATATATGGGTTCTTTTGTGAGGTGCTTTTTGCTGGTGGTAAATATGTGGCTAGAGTTGTCATTATTTTTTTCTGCGGGCTCCAGATCCTAGTTCAAGTTCAAGCTCCGCGGTCCCTTTGACCTCTTTTGATCTTCACTCATCAAAGGTCTCAATCGAATCGCGGCCCGTATGCAAAGCGCGAAATTGAGGGTTGCAGGGATCTTCCCTTGCCTTGAGCTAAGATCGTCCAAGGCTGCTTTTATCTTGAAATTTTTCTGCGTTCCTCAATTCGAACAACTCGGGCACTGTTCCAGCACATACTGCAGCCAAGTGTGCGCGCCACATCAAACTCGCGATGACCTGACGGGAGTCCTCGTCGGTTTGAATATCACTCCGCCCAGTTTACGGCCCGAGCTTGAGTTGTAAAGACTCGTGGTGTTGATTGCCGACTGCAATAAAAGCTGCATGCAATTCGAAGGACCCTCTTGGGATTGTCAAACATGCCGGAAGTCATGTTATGCCTTTGAGATCTGTCCTGCCACAAGTTTCAGCTTGACTCCTGAGCGCAGCATACTTAATCGCACACTTCTTACGTCCCCTATAGGCGATGCCATATCCTCAAACGTGAAGCCGCACTTTTCCTTACCTTCAGGAGCGATTCTCCATTGAACTTTGACTCAGCCTCTCTCGCCGCGTAATCCCCAAATCCCTCAGGACCCAGAACACTGTGACTGAAGCACCCTATACGTCCGGTTGGCCTGTTCGTAATTCATCTCAATCTTCAACAAAATTTCTGCGACTCGATGATTACTCGGACACCCATCAAGCAGTATAATCGTGTCCCTAGGTGGTCTATTCTTGTAGCATATTTCTGGTTGTGGACCTCCGTACATGCCCAACCTCCACAACCCATTGGCATTAGTCAGTCCATATGTTACACGCTGATTCGATGGTGGAAGAACCTCCGATTAAATATGTGCTGATCATGCTTGAATCTCACAAAAATTTGAATTAGATCTATGCGACTTGCCCCGTAAACCAGACTCGCAATTATGGAATCAACTTAAACTTGATCAATACATCCAAGGGTATCCCAATGGCCAAAATCTATCCGTCATTGTAAGTTGTAATTTCATCTAGGTTCCCGAAATAAAGCGTAGATGTACGCAGTTCTCGAGCGGTCCGTTGACTCTCGCAGGGCTGACCAACATGACCTAACATTGCCTCTTTTTCCTTCCTACACTAGGAATTTGCAAGGCAGAATGGAGCTGAGAACTTCCTTTGCGGTATCGGTGAGAAGTGTAACATTGGAGAAGTAAGTCCCCCAACTCCTTCGATAGTGTCTCAACCAATTTCGGTGACCCCTTCTAACCGCAATCGCTCCCAGCTCTGTCATCCAGTCCAAGGCCCAGCTTGGCATGTCTTGTTTGCCATACAGGAATGGAACATGTTTATGAACTCCGTATACATGGCCGTGGCTACTACCATGGATCTGGTCCGAGGTGAGTGTCACTGATGACAGGCATTTCAGCGTGACAGCAAATGAACCGATATGTTGTTTTTGTACTTCCAGTCACAACAGCATCTTTATTGATGGATCTGTGAGCTCAGTGATCTTGATGTTCACCTTAATTTTAATTCTCTTGAGAATGGGCGCAGCTGCTGATGATGCTCCTCTGAATCACTTTTTCTAGTACTGATCCGAACGAGAAAGATGCCGGTTATGTGGATCCAATGTTTATCCTCAGCCTTTTGGGTGCATTTTTTGTATCTCTGTCACTTGGGGTATTCTATAGTCTTGCCACCATTGCCTATAGCTCGTCTTGGTTCACCATCTCAGCACTTAGTGTGTTCCTCGGTATAGGAAGCACCCTCTCCTTTTCTGGGCTCCAAATTTCTACAATGGTCGAGCAAGAAAAGGCCATTGAAGAGACTGCTTTCAATAAGGTGAACGATTTGGGATCAACTTAACAATAGTATCCATGTTTCCTTCGCGCATCTGATCTTTTCTCTCTCTCCATTTTGATCAAAGTGGTCTCGTTTTGGCTACTACTTCAGCCAATGGGAAGATGCTATGCATCAGGGCATCACCCATAGCGTCAACGCCACGCTGCACACTGGGATTTCTGATCTCGGACCGAGTGGCATCGTTCACTTTCTTGGAAATGGAAGCTTTTTTCAATCACACCCCAGAAAGACCTCAGCTGAGATCGAACTTGGTCTCAAGGACGTTACTCAAATTCGAGCACTCGTGATCTTGCTTCGTTCCATGGTCAGCCCGGTTCCATTTTTGCGAAGCTTTCAAAAGCTGATTTCATCTTTTTCATCTTTTCTTGCCACGCTCTAGAATGCTTTCGTCACCCGGGGTAGTGTGAGTTTTTACGACGTTCAAATTATCACAGCTTTGTGCTGATGCCTCCACCTTTCATTTCGCAGGGACCCTGCACTGGCCGCGGAACAAATGGAGCTTGGGATGGAGATGATCACTTGTCATACTGTGGACCAGACAAAATGTTTGTACACAGATTCACCCGCTCATTTGATTTCATATATGTGGACCATTGACCCATCATCACAGTATGATGAACATAGTCATAGCAGATGGAAAGCATGCCAAGAACACATTTTTCAACGCAAAGGCAATTGCACTGAAATACAGTATCACCACTGAATATCTTACTGTAAACTCATGGACATGTCAGCAAAAGTATGGAATCGGAGCTGACCCGTATGCGGGAACGTGAGCGACTGTTTCTGTGTTTTAGTCATCTGTATGGCTTATGTTTTTGATGATCCGATTCAGTGCGATGCCAATGGACGTCTCTTCTGAATGTGTGGCCAATCTTCCCGTTTGTGACTGTACCGATCCAGGTAGGTGTATTGAAGATTCAAATTTTATGAGAAAAGACTGATCCTCTGAATCCCTCCTCCAACATAGAGATACGAAAAGCTATCAAAAAGCACGGGACTGTTCGTGCATGTCGAGATGTAGGAAAATTACCAATCTGAAAAGATCCCTTGACCCATGCAGCCCTCGTCCCTTCTTCATAGATGGGCACAAATACAAACTTACCTCACACTCAGTTCATTCATTGAAGAAGGAGTATTTTATGCGTAGCTTATTCTATCTGGTTGTGGACTTCAGTTTTATTCATGATTCAATGGGGAAAATGGAAAATCATATTGGAGCCAAATTGACGACTTGAAACTCGATGAAAGCAGAAGAGAGATTACAAAAGTGATATAGCTTCAGTTTCCAAGTCTGAAATAAATCCGATGAAGGGCCCAAGGAGGACTCCCTTACATAACATAGAAAGAGTCCGAAAATCAAATTTGATTCAATCTCCTACACAAGTTGCACAAGCTTGCTAGCAAGTCATCCCTTTTATTGCAGATTGTTTAATGTGACAAACATGCATAAAAATTGATCATACACAAAGCGCGCGCACATTTTCAAAATGTGTGCCAATGAAACATCCATACCAATCTTGGATTTCAAATGAGTATTTCAGAAAGTACAACCATCAAGTTGATCTAGAGAAGGTAGCCTTGATGTGGAGAACCCAAAGACTCCAGTTTATTCACCTTGTATCATCACACAAATGAGGGTTTCACCAATAACAAGGAATTTCAAATTTTTTATATCAATATCCGTTAGTCAACTATCCAGCAAATCCTATGCAAAATCAGATCCTTCAGAGGCAATACCAGAACCACTCCGCTCAAGAAAGGTGGTAGTGGTGTGGCAGTGGTGCAGTCCAAGGGTCCGCTATTGCCACCACAATATGTAGTGGTGACTACACACCACAGACCAGGGCCAGATTTTCCCATAGAGGAGGAACCACAGCGCAACCTGTTGGGGCTTGGGTTTCTCCGGTATCCAATGGGGTAATACAAACAAATATGTGGGTGCAGCCCAACCTAAGAAAGTCCCTATCAGCAAGGGTGCAACTATACTATACCGGTATAGGTATAGTTGGGTATAGTATTGTTTAAACCATACTATACTATACTGGGTATAGTATAGTTGAACTATACTTTACCCAACTATACTCAGTATAGTATCCTTTCACCAACTATACCTGGAAAAGTGTTATACATGTTTTCCATCAACTTATCCAACTATACTGTGCACAGTATAGTTTGGTATATCTGAGTATAGTTCATCTATACTATACCGAGTATAGTTCAAGTGCAGTATAGTTTGACTATACTATACCAAGTATAGTCGAGTATAGTATAGTATAGTATAGTTGTAGCCTTGCTATCAGTCCCTCTTGACAAGCAAGGGACTTATGGTTTATTCACCAAATTTGGCATGTGACAAGGCTGCCACTATACTATACCAGTATATTATACTGTTGGTATAGTATATTTCAACTATACTATGCTGAAAATATACTCAGTATATTTGGATTTACCAAATATTGTTAGAAAATGAGGATCACAAGCTCAACGCTGTAGATCTACGACAGGAACCTTTTAAAAGGTTTAACAAGAACTTATCAGTTCGTGTTGACAAGACACACTCATGAGGCAATGAAAAGACACGAGTTCTAAACTCGGACAGACCTGAAAGACAAGGAGGATTATAGATAAGAAGTTTAGAATCTTTTTCCTTAATCAGCAAAAGAGAAAAAGAAAATAAGCCCCATACAACACACCTTTTAAAAGGTTTAACAAGAACTTATCAGTTCGTGTTGACAAGACACACTGAGGCAATGAAAAGACACGAGTTCTAAACTCGGACAGACCTGAAAGACAAGGAGGATTATAGATAAGAACTAGTAGAGTGAAGATGTATGAGGTAGAAGAGAAACGTGAGTTTTTAGTAAGATAGTAAAGAAGAGAAAAAGAAATTGGCAATAACTCACGTTTAGAATCTTTTTCCTTAATGAGGGAAAAAGATCTAAATGTGAGGAGAGGCTTGGTTATAAGTAAAAACAACAAATGGCAATTTTGAGAATCAGAAACACTACGTCCACATTCTAAATAAACTACCAGTCCCAATCCGGTAATTTCTTCTAATGTTTCCATAACGTGATTAGTTCACCAATCCCAATGCGGTCAATCCTTCTACACAACAACTCAACCTCTTGACCACGTATTCTAAATTGACTTGTTTGATTCTAATTTGTTCACAGTGCATTTCTTACCATCCTCACTACACTAGCTTAAGTTAACCTGAATACTACTCCCTGACCTTCATTGGTTTTGACCAATCCACAATTTACTCCAACACACCCCCTCAAGACCAATGAGGTCACTTGATTCCCAATTTGCTCCTAAGTTTGGTGAACTGCTGCTTGCCAAGAGCTACTGTGAGTAAGTCAGCAACCATCTCTTCAGTTGGACAGTGTTTAAGAGAAATGTCACCCCAGCTGACAGCTTTGTGAATCCAATGAAAGTTAATCTCATTATTCCAGGTTCAAATGTGAAACATTGATCTGTTGATACGGCAAATGGTACCAAGATTATTGCTATGAAGAATAGCATGATTTTGTTTACATGACAGTTAACACTGGTCCATACATTCTCCTTGAGCAGTGAGTTCATTTTCTCATTGCAAGCTTGTTGCCAATTAAGGGAGTTACATGCTAACACGTCTTCCTTGTACAACTTTGTATCAGGTATTGCATTAGATGCTTTGTAGTTGATGTCATTTTGAGTTTGGTTTGATTGTTGAACAACAGTCGGTGAGATTGAATATTGAGTTGGAGAATGGTTTATGTTCACAGGGGTATCAGTGATTTTGTTTGAAATAGGATGGACTACTGGAGAAGGATTGGATGATGATGAGATAGGAGTGCATCTGGAGATCGGGTAAGCCACTTGAGTTCCAAAAGTAGGTTTAATGGTTGTAGAATGATTTGGTGATGGATCAAGTTGGTCTTTTTGATGATTAGTATGGTTAAATTGATTGTATGGATAGTGATTGTTATCATCAGATTGATAGTTTTGATGGTGATCGCGATTAGACATTGATTCTTTTTGATGGGATGGTGAAATTTGATCGACAGAAGGTCTATCAATATTATTAGCCGAGGTGTTGTTTTGAGTAGATTGAGGCGTTAACAATCGAGTAGAAGGAATTTGAATTTGGGTTTGAGATGGTTGAAATAGTTTTTTATCTGAATGAATGATTTGGTTTGAGTCGGGATTAGGAGACGGTGATAAGTTGATTGATTTATTGTTGCCAGTCAAGGGAGATGCTGAAGAATCACTTGTTTTAAAGTTTTCTACTTGAGTCGCTACACCATCAAGACTACCATGTTTAATCATTGAATTCAGATAGGTTTGACTTTGAGGACCTCGACGATGATGGATGATTGAGTGAGAGTGCGAATTTGAGGCTTGATTGATTTCAGGTTTGACCGATCTTACTGGATCCATGAGTACATTCATAAGTCCGGTATCAAGAATAAAGCCATTGAAAAGAGCTAATCCATTTCGAACTAAAGCAAAGCACATAGGATCTGTACAATCATAGACTTCTCTAACCCCCTTCTTCTTCAGATTCCCTCCGGCTATTGAATTCTTGCTTAGCTCAGGAACATACAAACAATCAGTAAGTTCAAAAATTGTTCCATCACCAGCCTTCAAGAGAACTTTCCCTATGCTTTCAACAGCTAGAGATACACCCCCTCCAGCTAACTTAAGTCTTCGATTTGAGTCCTCAACAGGTCGTAAGCTGTCAGGAACAAAGATGCTTGATGTATTAAACATATGATGGGTGGCGCCGGTGTCGTGTAATGCCCAAATAGAGTTATCAGAAGACATAGCATTTGTCAAGTTGGCGGAAGTGGAATCGTCCAGAGAGATCACCTTGAAGCTGGTGTGAAGGGACATTCTCTCGAGGCTTTCGGCAACCATGTTTGCGGAGGGAGTAACCCTCTTCATACCTCTGACTTGAGGATTTGAGAGTGAAGCATTAGGATTGAAATTGGATCGTTGACGTCCAGTGGTTCTGTTAGCACGTCGACAAGCAAGAAAGTCGTCACGTTCCTTAAAGTTTTGCGGCTTAGACCAGCACATATCTGCTGGATGGGGTCCCTTGCACATAGACTCAGTACATTCGAATCGCTGACCTCTAGACACAGTGTTAGCTGATAGTTCGGCTGGTCTAGCTTCACGGGTAGCCTCCGTGGAAAAATTATGACGAGTGTCATAGTCACGTAGGTATTTGACAACATCACGACGAGTTAAGGGTGAGACGGTGGAATGGATGAATTCCACGGTAGAATCCGAAAGACGATCGATAGAATCAATTAGACGAAGGGCAGATTGAGCATCGTCCATCTTGCCACCGTAACGAGTGAATTCAATGAATAAATTCTCGAATTTGTCCAGATATCCCGACAACGTGTCTCCTCGTGAGATGGTGATAACACTGAGAGACTTGGAGATAGAAGCTAAGCGTTGGGCATTAATCAAGAAATGTCTTTCCTTCAAGAAAGACCACAAGATGAAAGGATCATGGAGAATGGAATTTGGATCCTCTGGATCTGTTAACCAATTTATTGCTTGACAGTGGTTCGGCTTATCTAATCTATTAAGTATATAATTGACAATCACCTTCTTAGTCTTAAGAACCTTATCGGAAGTAAGTTCTTTGTCAACAAAATCTTTGACAATGACGTAGTGGTGAAGTTCAAGAGTTTCCAGATTGTCATAGACAGATCGCTTCCAGGTTGGGTAGTTGCCGTCTTCAAGATCATCCGTCACTTTGAATTTGCTCAAGGCATTGTTCAATTGCTGGCCATAACGCTGAAGTGCGTTTCCAAACACCGACATAGGTTCTTCGTTGGACATGCTACTGGAATCAGGTAAACGAGCAGTTTGAGCTGATGAGGAAGACGATGAATTTGACTCTTCTTCGGTATCGGTTAATGATATCTCTTCTGAGAATTCTGACGACGGAGTTGACATAAATCGGGTTAAGACAGAATTGATTATGAGGTTTCGTTGATCGAACCTCTCGCTACCATGTTAGAAAATGAGGATCACAA